ACGAAAAACGTACGGGGCGCATACTAATTTACAATTATCTTCACCTATTGAACTATTATGATCTTTTTCATGTGCCCCACGTTTTTCGTTTTAAATCTTACAATTATTTATAATCTCTCCAAAAATATTTATAAATTATTTTCTAGTGCGTTCAAAAACGTGACATATTTTAAAGTATTTTTATTTATAAATTATTATTTATTCAGACCGAGGAACGTCATTAATGTCAGAAGAATTAAAATCTACTCTTCTGCTTATAATCGTAGAGGGAATGGCCAAGTAGAGAGATTCCATGGCACTATATGGAAGACTGTTATGCTTGCTCTCGGAAGCCAGGACTTACATGTAAAGTATTGGGAATCAGTTATTTCTGAAGCACTTCACTCAATAAGATCGTTATTATGTACATCAACCAATACAACAACTCAAGAACTGAAGTTTAAGCACTCCATAAGATCTTATTATGGAGGTTCAGTTCCGAGCTGGGTGTCACAACCCGGCCCAGTGTTGTTGCGAAAGCACAACAGATCCAGCAAGTATGACTTACTTGTAGAAGTAGAACTTATCCAAGCAAAAACAGGTTATGCTTATGTGAAACTCCCAAATGGACAAGAGAATACTGTGTCAATAAGAGACCAGGCCCCAGCGCCTGGTCAATCATCTTTGGAAACAGACAGAAATGAACAAGATATTCGAGAACCCGAGTCTTCATTCCCGAACATACAAACAGTTCTCACGAAGACTCAAGTTCGGCGCCTTCCAAAACTCATCCACAGCGTATACGGCAGAGACCTCACCATTTAAAGACTATGTCTCGTTTTAGGGTGGAATGAATGTGGTACCTCTAGGTCAATTTATAATGAGTTTTATTTGCACTTCAATATTAAAACATTTATACCAATTGGATCTAGAGGTGTGTGAATTGTGAAATTTCATTTCGGATCGGATTTGGGCCGGATAGTCAAGGCTCGGTTTGGATTGGATCGGATATTGGGAGGTTCGGATTCGGATCTCTATCACACATTTACTGAATAGCTGAATTTCATTATTATTTAATGTTATTTGATGTTATCAATAATAATAACTTATTTTTATTTACCACCAAACCTAATTCAGTAAAAACTTGATGAACCAATAATTACACTACATAACCTCATTATCATAAGTAAAATACAAAGATAATTTTAAAACTGTACAGTATTTAAATCGTAATTCTAGTTTGTTAAAATGGAGGATTGTATGTTCAATAATTCCAGTCCATTATTGATATGCAGTAGTCTCCCATGGTGGAAGGAAAATACATAGGTGTGCTATTCCCGTCATATTCTGACGTCACTCAGTTTTCAAACAAAAGATCACCTGATTGCAACTGTCAAATTAGTATGTATTCGTTTTGATTTGATTGTTATTGTTTTTATAATGTTTTCAAAATAGTTGAATGTGTTCATTATAAAAACAATAACAACCAAATCAAAACAAATACTAATTTGACAGTTACAATCCGGTGATCTTTTGTTTGCAATGTGAGTGACGTCAGAATATGACGGGAATAGCACACCTATGTATTTTCCTTCCACCATGGTAGTCTCCCAAAATTATTGTGTTTGAAACATCACAGTTCATTTGAGGAAATGAAAATTGATGCAGTCCAAAGTCAAGTCACGCACTAGCAACTAGACCCTGCAGTGCAGCCGTCTGCACTATGTCACAAAAACTTGGCTGATAACGACATAATGCTTTGTAGTCTCTAATGGGGGGATTAGTAACCATGCCAACGTGTTGAATGAGTGGATGAAGGAAACAGAACAGAAGAAAGAATAGAAGAACAAAGAGAAATAATAATTACAGTTTATGTTATTTTTGTATCCTTTTTACGAGTGCTGTTATTATTATTATGTATGATTTTATACTTCTTTATGAGCTATCTAATGTTTTATAGGTTTACAAAATAATTGTTTTCAACCATGGGAACATAAATTATTCACAATAGTCGATGTCTGGATGTGTAATTAAGGTCATTGACCCAAAATATCTTGATTGCGCAATGTTGTAATTTGACGTTAAAATGCAAATCATGGCATTAATATTCAAATTCAAATGCAGGGTGCGGCAAAAAAACCGATCCATTTTCTTCAGAGCACTGTTCAGCGATAGGTCGTCTAAGAGTGGTGGGAGTAGGCTCGATGGAAAGTCTACACAATGCCATTTTTTGTAGTCATAGAGCAGTGGTCGCCTGAGCTACGTGCGGTTGTATTGGAGTTGTTTTTAAAAAGTAGTGAGTTCATTCATTGCAACTCAGCGGCATCGGCAGATTCATGCATTCTTTCAATTAAGGTGACATGGGGAAGTTCCGTTGCGTCACAATAATGCGGTGGGTTACTAACTTTAGAACAACGGCTTCTGCGTTGAAAAGGAAGCTGAAAGGCCGTCTAAAGTCAGATCGGACAACTGACATTTGATAGAGTTCGTGCTGCTGTGGAAAACAGTCCTCACAGGCCTGACCTAAAAACAAGCGGCTGCCCAGTGCCCGAACATGTCTGACTGCTCAGTTACACAAATTTTTGAAGTTAATTTTCATACCTACTCCACTTACTGTGGGCCGCCTTCTTTCGAGGTCATTGCCCAACCCAAAATTATAACATGATAAATAATTTGTAAACATATTTCATTTGTATTTTATTTAGCCTGAAATCAGCCATAAGGAAATACATTATAATGAAAAGTAATAATAGAAAGATAAAATATCTATTTTATTACGGTTACGATTATTAGGAATTTGTAAATGAAATATTAACCCTTACCGGGGTAGACGAATATACTCGCAGAAATTCCCTTTGCTCAAAAACGCTATGGACAACTATAGTAGTCTTTTAATACATTTAATGCATTGGATGGTCTTGCTAGTTCCCAGTTTTGTCGATAGAGTGCAGGAGTGATGGAACATCTCTCGTGATGGAAAATCACAATAACAACGTCCCCCGCCCTCTGATTGTTCAAAATGGCGGTGCGCTACTCTGGCCAGTCTCTGCTATGAGTGACCCCAGCGCGGTGGACGGACTAACTCGCAGCAATAGATTTAATGTTTTCCAAAAAAAGTCAGAATAGAAACAATAGAAAAACAAAACAATAGAAAGGTGGGAGCTTCTATAATGTTTTGCTTTTATATTGTTTCTTTTTTGGGAAACATTAAATCTATTGCTTATGTAAATGTAACAGTGCAGTAGTCGATTTTTTTACTGTAAAACCAAAACACTACTAACTATCAAAGTGGTCGTAGGCGGAACTATTGAACAGTTTGTTGTAAAATTGCCTTATTACATACAATGGCTCTAAATTTTATGGCGACGCAGCAACCCTAGTATCAGGTTATGAGCACGAGTTGACTTTCATTTGACCTCAGTAGTTCTTATCTGCTTTTGTCTGTTTGTTCCAGATGAATAGAATCGTAAAACAAAACAGACGATAAATCGATATTGCATCATACGGCTTCTTCATTGAGCTCACGAATATTTTAAGCTAGGTTAAAGTAAAACTCGAGAAAAAAATCATAAATGCAATAATGTTTAGTGTTTGGCGTAACTTTGGTTGTTAATATTTAGCTCAAAACTACACTTTTTAGGTTTTTCACAAAGCTATGTAGCCTAGATATAGCTCAGCTAGAAGTTCAAAAAGCGTCTTCGAAAATCTGCTATATAGCCGGAGTCCACAGCTATATATATATATATATATATATATATATATATATATATAGCAGAAAACGAGCTATCCATTTTTTTTTTGTAAACATCAAAGGAAACGCGGCTACATCTAGCTCAGCTATATGTGCATTTTTGTTTGTAGCAGAGCTACATGTAGAGCTCCCTTTCCTCAGGAGCCTCTCATTGATTGCAAACTATGGGAATGAACAATGAAATGAAATAATTGATTTTGAAGCTTTGATTTGAGTCCCCAAATGCTAAAAATCATAGGGTAATGGCCAGTTGTTCACAAGGGATAGCATCTATAAATGATGTATCTTGTTTTGAAATCTTTTTTCTAACACCAACAAGAAGGAACTCAAAAATCACTTGGAGGACATTTTTAAAGCTTCCATCACAGCAAATGTCATAACCTAAGTCCAAGTCATAACCTAGATGAAGTCCTATCCGTCTTCATCTAGGTCCTTCAAAAGGCCAGTTCCACTGTATCTCTCCTTTGCTTGAAGGGATGGCCTAACCCAATATCTTATTTCTCTTCTTAGAACTGAAAACAACACGGTTTCCGCGGCAGCTGCTAAAACAAGAACTCTCTGCTTAGGCATCTGGCGGGAAAGTGTGGCACTTCCACATATTTAGCTATATGTAGCTCTGCTACATAAAATCTTTGACTTGTAGCTGGGCTACAAATAGCTGAGCTACAAATAGCTGAGCTATATATAGCCGTTGGAGCTACAGTATATATATATATATATATATATAGCTGATTAGTTATATAACTCTCCTTTATAGCACAGCTATATAGCTCTCCAGCTATATAGTGTAAACCAGGCTTAAGTCTCGGATTACACTACCGCACGTTACTCAGATATTGATTGTTATTAAAGTACTTTTGTTTGTTGATTCGATGATTTTTCACAAACAATTAATCTTAGTTGTCAACCGCTGTCGGCGCTGTGACGTCGATGGAAACGAAATGTTGAAATAACGTCCTTGGAAAGAGGAAACTAATGATGATTATTATTTTATGAATATATTGTTTACAGTCTAAAATGTTGTAAGATACAGTCTATCCGAAAAAGTCGGATACTTAACGGATTGTGTTGGATATCAAATTTGGACTCGGATCGGTTATGGATATCTGAACCGAAACAAATCCAACCCAATTTTTCAGATATCCACACACCTTAAATTGTATCATATTGTGTTTCAAAGAAATTTCGGTCTTACCATACTTTTAATGTTCTAATAATTGCTAGAATTAACTTGGGATATGATAGTTGCCAGTTTACAGTATGTACCCACCAAAAATATACAGGAAACTGATCCAGAACATGGTTTTCCTGGTCTTCATTAACTTCTGGGGTCAACGGTTTGTCCTTTTTTTGTTTCTCTTTTTCAATTTGGTTTGACTCATTTTTCTTCTTTTTATTTTTTTTCTTAGGCAATGTATTGGTCACAGGTCCATTCTTGGATGTCTTGGGCTGATCTGATGCCAAGCAAGTGTAAGGCATAGGGATGGGCTGATGAGACTGGGCCATTTTTGGCTCATGTTGATCATTACTTGACGTTTCATCTGAATTTCTTTCTCCCTATAAAAATTTAAATTCTTGTAATACATTTTTTTAACCTAAAGCCGACTTTACTAAATAATGTAATTAATTGTCGTCAATATTGGTAATCTTCCAAAAGAGTCATTGATAAAACAACAACCCTCCAAGAAAACCTCTAGAGTAAGCCATAATAAATAATTATATGTTTATTTTGTAAAAATTAGATGCTGAATTATAAATCTGAATGTAGTCACATAGAAGTAAGATACAGAGGATACAAGCTTATGCGACAACCGTGCACTTGTAGCTCTGGTATATTGGTGCGGAAATGTACTTGCACCGAGCAAGGAAGAGTCCAAACGACGATGGCCACATAGCATTGTTGTACAGTAGTGGTAGCACGTCTTCCTACATTGCGAGCTCTGTAATACGTGAGGGCGAGGAGGGAAAGGAGTGCGGAAATGGACGACAAATTTAATTTGCTCTATACACCAGCGACAAGTGCTTGACAACACTTAAGTGTACCATTGAATGTATCCTCTGTTTCTTACTTCTCTGTAATGCTTTTTTTATTTGTAAACCTAGTAGTCTCATTGGTCTTACATGGTCTGATTTTGGTTGAGGTTGGGGAGCAATTTCAAAGTAAGGCAGACATTGCAGCCCAGCTACTACGTGATGCAAGGCTTGTTGACATCTCTCCTGGACTGAGCCTACCAGGGGCGGAGGAGGTACGTAAGGTGGCACTGAAACATAAGTCAGGTGTTGCAGTTTTTTTTTTTATAGTCATTTTGATCAAATTTTTCAAATTTATTTATTTTAGACTTGAAAAAACAATTGACTATCTTCAATGTAGCAGCAAACCTGAATACTCGTTACGTTACCTAAAGTTGCATTGATAGGAAATAACTGTTTAAGGAAATATTTGAGTAAAAATTCAATAAGAAAAATGGAAATTCACTAAAGTTGCAGGTTTGTTCTTTGAAATAGAAAAATGCAACTCAGAACTATTAGCGCTATCAATACACAGTAATGCTAAATTTATCATTTCCAACCACCTATTAAATGAGAAGTATCATTAAAAAAAAAATGGACTACATCTAAACCTGAAAGGGAAAACTACAGTCTGCAACTCCATATTCTCTTGGCTAAGTAAAGGTACAAGAACAGAAAATGATAGTCAAGCTACAATTCAAAACTTAGTTAAAACTATATATACTCCACCTACGCAAGATACTGCCTCAAAGACCAAATGCAATCCACACAACATCCACGTTGTTGAAGCAGACATGGCAGCTATGATAAACAAATACTGCAAAGATACATCAACGACTTTTGCTTGTAAAAAATATGTCAAAGGGTGTTGCACTGGTATTTAAGAGCCACTTTGGAAAGCCATCACCATCAGACAGAATACACTTGTGCTTGGCTTACCAAAGAATAAAAGGGGAATCTGGGGTATAGTCTAATCACAAAGAGCCAGTTTTTCAGAAAACCATCACAAGCTACCTATGATCGAGCATTTCATGCACTAACCCAGGATTTCAAGAAGAGGGGTCTCAAGCATCTCATATGTTCCCCTATGGGTTGCGTAAGAGACCAAATAAAATTGGAGCATTTTGCTGAAAATATAATTAAATTCCAAGAATCAACTGGTGCCTGCATTGACATAGTACTACTACAAGAGGAGAATCCAACTAGAAATCTCTGGAATGGCCAGCCCTACAGTCAATTTTTACAAAAATTAAAACTTTAACTATAAAGCACACGTCAGGAAACTCTATGATGCTACTTCCCACCAACCAACATCAGATGGATAACTACTCATTAGACAAACCACAGCACGAGACTTCCCAGCCGACCCTCCACAACATCATGTGTGTGTGAAGTGAACTAAGTGAAGTGCAGGCTGTTACGCCCAGTCCAAGTGCTAGTCCCTCCCCACACTTTGCTCCTGGCCCACATTCCTATGTGGAAGCAGTGATACAGGGCAGTGCAAGTGTCAGTGTTAGTCAAGTTTACAATGGAGGTTCTGGTGATGGTGTTGCTTCATCAAATATTCCTTTTAGCGAATTTCCCTATAGGGAAGTAGCTATTACCGTAGGTCTCATGGTAAGACCTAAGCCCGGGACCGATTTACTTTTTCATTTTGATGTCCCCAGAGGCCAAAAACACCATTCGTTCAAATTTTTATATATCTATATATAGAGATATATATATATGTGTCCATCCGCACGATAACTTGAGTAATTTTTGTCCAATTTTGATAAAATTTGGTTTGAAGGTGTAAGGCGGGATAAACTTGAATGAGTTTGCGAACCAGCATGATCGGACTATGAGAACGGATGTTTATGGGGGGTTTTATGGGGTAAAAATAGGGTTTTCCCATTTTTGACCCTAAAAACACAAAATTTCACAATTTCTTTTTATACCATTTTGTAGAGCTTAAAAAAACGAATAATTTATTATATTGAAGCGTTATTAAGCGCCTAATTGTTACGAAGAAAATTCAAAAAAGTTGTAATTTTAAAATTCCCATGTTATTCTTATGGAGAATAAGTCAACTGTTGTAGTTTGCTTGTTTATGAACATATTTGATCAAATTTGGAAAATACACGAATTTCTTACTAAACTACAGTACCTTTTAACATTTTACATAAAAAAACTTTTTTACCCTCACTGTTGCAGCAAACCTAAGTACTCATTAAACTAATTCTGTTTAAATAGGGAATAAATGTGATATTTTTAAGGAGACATTTTTGTTTAAATCCAATCAGGCAAATGGAAATTCGCTAAGTCTGCAGGTTTGCTGCGGCGGGGGTATTTAGAAATTTGCCCAGAAAAAAAAGCAGAAACTACACATATAGCAAAAAATTTGATTAACCAGCAAACACTATTAAGGGGACATGTCAACGAAAAATTTAATTTTTTTATTTTTTTGAAATGGTATTTTTAGATCCTCTATGATTTCCTGAACAAGAAAATGTATAACAAGTGTGTGTAATAATTTAATTTACTCGTAAAAAAAAATAAATAGTAACGGTGTGCAGCCTTATTTTGCCACTATTTTCGCTACCACTGCACTCATTCTAGCAGTCATTCGTTATTGTGTTTCATATAGTGCTTGCAGAACCAGTTGTAATTGATTTATTTGGATCAGACTGTACAACCTAGTGTTCCTGTAGCAGACTGTACTGCCACCCAGCTGATATTGCTATTGTTTATATTTAGCTAAACATTTTTGTTTATGTTGGTTTTGTTGGTTAGTTTTGGAATATTTATGTGATATGAGTTTGTGTGTGAAATAGTGAGTTTGTATAGCCTAACTTAGGTGAATTATTACTTCTGTTGTAAAAATGCCTCTGCATAAAAACTCATGGAAGAGAAAATTTAGGGGAAATAAGTTCAGTCGAAGTAATAGCAGTATTGGTGAGCATTCAAGTAATGTTACACTTGTGGATGCACCTAGTGGGTCACTGGTTATAAGTAATGATGTCAGTCCTAGGCCTACTTCAAGTTCAAAAAGAAAACTGTCTTACATTCCAGATTTTGTTGACAATGTAAAGTCTGAGAATACTCAGGTGAATATTATAATAGATTCAGATATAACCTCAAAACTGATCAGTGAATTTGTGAAGTGTAAATTTTGTGATGGAGAGAATTGTATCATTCTCGAAGAAGACCGAAGTTGTGCAAAAGGTTTAGCTACTAAACTGTCTTTATCATGTACAGTGTGTAATGCAAATAAGACTGCTATGTCTTCAAGAACATCCGACCGCGGAAGATATCCAATACTTAACTGTGATCGCAGAAGACGATGAAAATGTTTCTGTTACCATAGGGGATATTCAGGATATTGTCATGACCACGGAACGATGTCCATACAACTACTTGGAATGATCAGAACTTGGCCAGGACCGTGGGAAACGATCTTCTTCATCTACGTATCCATCTTCATTTACTACGATATGGTATTTATTTAATGAGTTTGAGTTGTGAAGAGTTTCATTTCAACTTAAATTGGCTAGTACGATTTTTTTATTGGTGATTAATTTTTCTTTTACTTGAAAAATATCCCATTACCCCAAAATTACTTTATGGGAGGAAATAAGGACAAGGGATGGTATAATATAACTAATCCATACAGAAAATGTGTAACAATTTTTTTTAAATGGTGTCGGTATCGAGAATTGATTTTTCCAGTAATTGGTAATCGATACCTTCTTATTTCTTTTGGTATCGACACATCACTACCTACAATTTTGACAACATCTGTGATTTTTAAACGACATGGTTTTTAGGCGAGGTATCAATTCATTTACATGGATAATTTCGGGCGTCACTCACCTTTTAGTCTATTATTTATTTTAGTATTTGTATTTTAAATGTGTGTGTTATGAATGGTGGTGACAAGGGGCCGAGTTCTTCTGTTTTCAAAAAGGTAAGTGACGCCCGACATTCTATGTAAATGAACATCTGTAATGATATCCCACATTCGTATCATTAATTGCAATGATAACTCTGCGCAAACATCTTTCTTATTTTCTTACAAATTTGCAGCAACTTTTGCTTTTCTTATGACTTCTGCAAACATGGCATTGTTATAATGATTTTCTTACTTGACTTGACAATGCAAAAATAGAACAAATAGCAATTATTAACGGATGTTATTAGTGATAATTCAATGTCTAAAATTTCTTAAAATCTGAAATTTATCTACAATTCTCAGACTTTTTCCTGGTCATCTAAATTCACGTACAATTGCCCCATTGGCTGGACACCTTTAGGTATCACTAGTTGGTCCTATAGACATACATGGTGGTGGTGGATGAAAGTCTGGAGATATACATAGGCTCTTGATGGGAGACGGGTCTTCTTCATCTTCAGCTGGAGGTTCAGGGGACGACGTCTCATCCTTCAGAAACTGAGGGTCTACGCCCAGAGGTAAGTACAGGTCTGACAGCATGTAATGTGCTGATGTCACAATCTGTAACATGCAATTTCATATTTTATAATGGCAACGAACCCCAAAGCAGAACCACGGACAACAGTGCGACATTGTCACAGGAAGACGAGGAGGGCTGCAGAAAGCTCAGCCTGCCTGACTGTATTTTAGATTATTTTATTTGTTTCATTTTAGCAAATTTCCCATATAGGGAATAAGCTATTACCGTAGTACTCATGGTAAGACCTGGACCCATGACCGATTTACTTTTTTGTTTTGAGGTCCCTAGAGGCCAAAAACACCATCCGCTCAAATTCATATATATATATATTGCGAGTGCCATGCCTCAATTTAAATTAAAGTTTCCTAAAGGTATCACTCGCTTAGCTTAGTCAAGAGGTGTTAGGTTAATGAGACATAAGACTGCTTAAGGGTGTTACTCAACGTGTAAAGAACAAAATTTAAATTTAGAAACACAACAAAAGTTACCAAGTGTAACAACAGCAAAAGAAAACTTTGGAAAGGCAAAAAACAACAATAGTAAGATAAATTAATTTACAACGTTAAATTTACAAGAAAAGAAAATCAATTGAAAATTTAAAAGAATTAGTTACTGACAAATTATATGACTTGTATGTTTTACAAAACTTAAGTTATATATTTTATTCTTTTTACATACTGTTTATTGTCCCAGAAGCTCATGCACCGATACACCCACTCCAAAACTCTTGATCTCCTTGGTCCCGTCTCCCGTGGTGATCTCCTCGATTTTTTCCTTCAGGTCCTCCAGCTCCAAGACTCCTCACCCCTCCATCTTCTTCATTAGCCCTTCTTATTGGCTGATTACCGATAGGGTGTGTGGCTTATATAAGTTAACGATAATTCTTGGAAGTCAGCCCTACCGGTCATCGCCTAGCTCACGTCAGCTGGGAAATGAATTTGTAAATCGATGCTCATGCTACTGTTCAACTCTGTTCACACCAACTGGTCGACTAAGTGTAATGTGAACAGAGTGTCTGCTTAGATGAGCACTGTGGGTACAGGGGATTCTTATACACCCCTTTCTTACACCCCCCTGGTTAAAACGTCAACCTACCACCGTTTGACAATAAAAATGAAAAAAAAACAACTTAAGGAGATACGCGGAAACATCAATCGTGATGGTGGAAATCGAACAGATATCTTGATGTGCATTCTGACTCTTCCTCCCCCCTTCCTGCGACGCGACGCGATCTTGAGGATCGGCGCATTTGCTTGTTTCGCGACCCTTCCAGCAACGCGGTAGAATGAGCTGGTGGTGTGTAGCTCATAGTCGCTCACGTCTTCTTTCGCCCCTTTGAGTCTCCTTAAGTTAATTGATTGTTTCATTAGTTTTTAATTATTTAAATATTAGCTGTTTGTTAAGATATTTTTGTTTATTTTTTTTTATATTATTATTATAAATTATTTTTATATGTTGAGATTATCAATGATTTATTCTGGGTTACACTTTTTTATGTTAATGGTCTTTTTGAGGGGTTTGCTTGAAGATGGTGGAGCAATTGCAGTCGATGTTTGCACAACTCTATCAGATGACGATAGTGACGACAACATAACCAACTAACTCTGAAATAATCATCCTACTTATAGCCTACTATTGATAATATTTCATGACAAATATGTATGCCCTTTCAAATAGCTTTAAGTGAAAAATAATCACTATGGTTGGCAATTTGAATTTTGTAAATGGGTAAATAAAAATATAACCAATTAACTTGGTACCGACACCGACATTTTACCATCGATTCTCGGTCCCGGTACTTTTCCCAAGAACCATTGGAACCGACATTTGAGGTTATGTACCGACCCATCACTAGTTGTAATATTTGAAACATGTAGGTACCTATTGTAACATGTCTACTTTTGTGTAGTTAGCTATATTGTATTCAATACCTGACTAAGATATAATTTTAGATATTTATGACATTGTCAATAATTTTAAAAAATTCAAAAGACAATAAACATATTTCATTTTTTATTAATTTTTACTTATAAGACTATCTGTGTCCATGGAAAAGACTAAAAATATACAGAGATACACTTTTGGTGGTTGTGCAAGAAACTTAGCAGGAAGTTTCATTTTATGATTTTGAAAAATTGTTAGTTTCTCCCAAAAATGAGGTATTCAGTATCCGTGACTATCCATACCCATGCTATTGACGTCGACATATACTGTAACATTGCCTAGCCATATGAGTTATTGACATTGACATAATACTGTGCTATTGCCTGGCAATATAATTTATAGACATCGACATATTTTGTGACATTTTCTAGCCATAAAAGCTATATTATTCTAAATCTTATTACATCAACCTTTAAACATCGCCAATTTAATTTTAAACTGTATGATTTAAATTGGATTTCTGTAAATATAAAAATTTTTTTACCCGTTCTTATGACATTATATATCTGGATCCGGATCCGAAGTATCAAGAATCCATAAATTTTGGTATCGACACATCACTAGATTTAATAAACCAAATATTAGGGCCTACCTTATTTTTTTAATATTTAATAATTAAAACCAAAAGTATAGTGTTTTTTTAACATCTACCTGGGGATACTTCTCCTTGGGCAGCAGAGAGAGGCAGTTGTTGAGAAGTGCACGGATGGTGCCAGGTCGCATGGACGCTGGGTCGGCCGAGTGTTTCATGTTGCGTGCCACACGGTACAGGAGCATCCCCACGGGCACTGTGAATGGGTTCTGTCCCTTCTCTACCAAGTTCTCTGAGCACAGGCTTGTCAGGTCGTATAACTTTACAATATCCTCGTCTTTGCCTGCATCACAGATAGTGGTTTATATACTTTACAATTTTAGGAATTTTTGATAGTCATAAGGTCTTAAGGTCATAAGGTTAGCCAAAATTGAACTAAAACATGATTTTATTATTTTTCATTTGGTGTCTGTTAAGTATTTATTAGTTTTCATTATTAAAATTCAGTAATCAAGTCAATCAAAAATCACTTTTATTCAATAAATATTAAATAATGTTAATATTTTATTACAGTTTAAAAGGATTTTCAGTGGTTGTTAATAGTCCAGTAAATCTGTCAGAAAATATGGGGTTGCTGTGCAAAAGGTCGGGTAGTTCTGATTTTTGGATATGTTGTTAGTATTGAACCCATGACATAAAATCCAAGTTATCCACCTCGAGATACTGCCACTCGCCGCGGGGCGCGCCACTTGTTATCGAAATAGCAAAACTATGGCAATTCCTATTGTTTTTCACTCAATCTCTCGAACCGTTGATTTTACCGAAAATTTTATATTATTACATTAAAGATGAATAAATTTGTGACAGTTTAAGCCCAACAGCAAGTATGTAGCGTAAATAATGGTCAAAATACAGACCATCAAAATAAATTAATTTTCCAAAGACGTATAAAAATTGTGGTTTTCTCAATATTTCCACAATATAGTTGTTTGGAGCAAACACCGTATTGATTTAGAAAGTATGCCAGTTTATTTGCTATTAATAGAAAATAAATGAAAGTATGAATAAAAATACCCCCACCACAGCAAACCTGCAGACTAAGCGAATTTCCATTTGCTTGATTTGATTTTCACAAACCTATTTAAATAACATTAGGGTTAACTGGTACCTAGGTTTGCTGCTACAGGGAGGGTAATATAGTATATAAAATAGCAATAGTATGATAAGAAACAAATAAATTTACCCAATTTTATAAAAATGTGTCTATAAATAAGGAAAAAACAATAATTAAAAATCTTCGCTATTGAAATAACTTGAGGTTTTTTATTTTACATTTTTTAATTTTCTCCGTAACCAATAACTGTAAAAAACATTTTAATGTACTAAATTATTTGTATTTAAGCTCTACAAAATTCTTTAATGATACAATTGTAAAATTGTATGTTTGAGGGTTAAACTTGAACAAAAATTCTTACTGGCAAAATACCTATAAAGCAACCGTTCCAATGGCCTTATCATGCCGATCATGCTTCGTGAACTCGTTTTAATAAATAAATGTACGTTTACATGTTTCAATGAATCAATGATTTATTTAGGCCATCAAGCAAAAGCAATAGGCTAAGTCACTTACAATACAAAGTAAATGATAAATAGTCCATCTCTTGATTCACAAATAAAAGTAATGTTTGTACCAAATTCCACTAAATTGGATGATTTTGGGGAATCATCGTGCTAACGGACGATAATAACTTTTTTGGATACAGTTTAGTAAAATCTTTAGTTTTTGTTTTTGGATACAGGGTCTCCAAAAAACTCACCTAGTTAGTAAATTTATTTATTTATTGTACTAGATACAAACGACTGTTCAACGACTGATGCCATAGAGAAGGCTATGCTGATACATTAAATGAAAGGTAATAAAATAAAAGTTATTTTAACACTATCACACCTCAATATGCGAACCATTTGTAGCCCTGCAGACATGCAAGCTATTTTTAATCATTTTTATCATATCATTAATATTTTATTATTTGTATTATAATTTATTACCAAAACTATTTTCAAGGTCAAATAGGTGTACGCAACTTATTGCCAACGTACAAAACTAAAACTTTGAAGTATACTGTACACAGCACGAAATGATTATTACTCATCCATTTGAACAATAGTATCGTGAGGTATGTTTAAAACTATGGAGTCTTTTTCGGACACCTGGTATATATACATATATATATTTATATATGTTATAACAATTTGAGCTAACAGTATTTTTGGCCTCTAGGAATACCAAAATGAAAAAGTAAATCGGTCCCGGGTCTAGGTCTTACCATGAGACCTACTGTAATAGCCTATTCACTATAAGGGGAATTTGCTAATAATCAGCATATCATTTATATTGAATGGTGTGTGTTGAGGAAACCACTATTTAATCTTTTCATCAATTTCGTTGTCTCGAGCAATGCGAGAATGGCGCGCGTCAACATAATGCTCACTGTCAATGCTCAACTGACGTCATTTTTTATAATATTTCTCAACTTCTTACAGATTTGATGAGGATGGATCATCCCAAGCGCCCATCAAGTTACAACATTTTGTCTGTTATCCCTCGTCCTCGAGTCAATCCACCAGAGCTTTTCATTGTCTTTATGAGGGCCTGTTCAATGGCCTAATCAGACCAAATTCCACACACCAGAACTTGTCTGTACGTCTTGTAGTGAAATTTCCGATCTTTGTGAATTTTTTGTGTTCTTCAATATCAATCCTATATTTTAATTCATATTCAGCATGTCCTGTATAGATCGGCGAACTTGGCGTGGAAAAATTACCCGCTGCATGGAAGATCTGTAGAGTGATTGTAATTGGAAGATCTTATTTGCCTGATCTTTCAGCCTCAATAAACTGTTAACTATGTTAAACTGTTTTATTTTGTTTTCATGTGAAAGTATTGTACCACAGCCACCTCTAATACATGTATTTTTTTTTTTTTTTTTTTTTTTTTTTTCTAAGACGCTAGGCACGAACCTGGGATTGTTTTTCACATTACTTCAGGCTAGACCTAGGGGTTGCGGCATTATCACTTGGATAAAATCCATTGGTGACTTGGCGGGGATCGAATCCGGGACCTCAGGGACTGAAGTCCCGCGCTCTAACCACTACGCCAGCTCGCTCCCCTTAATACATGTATTAGAGGTGGCTGTGATTGTACCCAAAGCTTAGCTTAAATGTTTATGTATAAACATTTGACAGCTTTGGGAAGAGTATTTTTGCCATTGAAGGTATATTTTGAAGGTCTGTTTTTCGGCATGTAAACCTACATTTATTAAAACGAGTTCACAAAGCATGATCAGGCCATGGGAACGGTTGCTTTATGGGGTTTTTTGTTAAGAACGGGTTTTTCGTATTTTTGACCCTCATAACATGCAATTTTACATTGTATCTCTAAACCATTTTGTAGAGCTTAAAAACAAATAGTTTAGTACCTACATTAAAATGTTTTTTACAGTTATTGGTTGAAAATTAAAAAAAGTAAATTAAAAAACCTCCAGTTATTCCAATAGCGAAGATTTTTAATTATTGTTTTTTCCTTATTTATAGACACATTTTTATAAAATTGGGTAAATTTATTTGTTTCTTATCATACTATTGCTATTTTATATACTATATTACCCTCCCTGTAGCAGCAAACCTAGGTACCAGTTAACCCTAATTTTATTTAAATAGGTTTGTGAAAATCAAATCAAGCAAATGGAAATTCGCTTAGTCTGCAGGTTTGCTGAGGTGGGGGTATTTTTATTCATACTTTCATTTATTTTCTATTAATAGCAAATAAACTGGCATACTTTCTAAATCAATACGGTGTTTGCTCCAAACAACTATATTGTGGAAATATTGAAAAAAAACCACAATTTTTATACGTCTTTGGAAAATTAATTTATTTTGATGGTCTGTATTTTGACCATTATTTACGCTACATACTTGCTGTTGGACTTAAACTGTCACAAATTTATTCTTCTTTAATGTAATAATATAACATTTTCGGTAAAATCAACGCTTTGCGAGATTGAGTGAAAAACAATAGGAATTGCCATATTTTTATATTTCGATAACAAGTGGCGCGCCCCGCGGCGAGCGGCAGTATCTCGAGGTGGATAACTTGGATTTTATGTTATGGGCCCAATACTAATAACATATCCAAAAATCAGAACTACCCGACCTTTTGCATACCAAAATGTCTAATTTTACAGGACTATAAAGCAACTTTCCAATATTGTTCACAGACAATGTAAAATTGACCTTTTTCATGTCGAGTACACACAATCAGTATAAAATACAGTCCACTTGTTTCCAAAAATAAAAACTGTGTTATAATTATCCAATTTAAGCCATAAAGCTAAAAATTTCACGATAGTGTACTTTTTTATTAAAAATATAGAAACTTTTAACTTTGGTATAAAAACTTACTGTTACTTAGGTTTCATTACAAATAAATAACTATGATAACTAATAATACAATAAGACATTTATTAGTCATTCATCAAAATTACAAAATTTGCAGTAGACATCGTCATATGATTCTCATTGATAAATTAGCAACAGCAACATTAAATTGAGCTAACATCACAGAAAAATCATGTAATATTTAAAATCTAAAATTAGGCTCTAGAAGAATCAATTTAAAATTTTAAAATTCATCCAGCGTATAAAATTGGTTCAATTGTAACCAATTAGACAGGGTGGGGCATGAGAAGTATCCCCAGGTTTTGAAGGTGCATTAAAAGACACCCAAAAAATTTAGAACCAAACTTTATATTGGGATTGAAAGATTACATTTGGGAGTTTATTTTAATATAACTTTACTTGGTTTTAAACAGCATATCCTGCAAGTGGTGTCCCTAATCGTAAATACACTGTTGTATTCTGGTTATTGAGTTCATCATAATTCTGTGAAGCATTTGTTGTGGAGTGCGGCCAACCTCAAGGTGAATTGCATCCTTTGAGGCATCTAGGGTCTTCTCGTGAACTACCCTAGGCTTAGCATCACTCCAATAGAGCATATTCTGCTTATTTACCACTCCAGAAATATGGAAGTGTGTCTCGTCACTAAAAAAAACCCAAGCAACATGAGGCAGTCCCGCAAAAGATTTCACATGCTTGCATTCGTTGTTGCCAGTTCATGTGTGAGATCCCGTTGTGTGAGATCATGTGCAACTACAAGCTTGAATGGGTGGAGGTGTAGGTCCTCATGGAGAACACGAGGCACAGTAAGATTAGGCAACGCCAGCGCGGAAGCATGCTTCCAAGCAGAACGTTGAGGAGACTGCAACGTTTTCAGGAGTTCCAAATACCCTCTACAATACACCACCACATACACTGAAATCCTTCACCCACACCAAAATGTAACAGCTTTGCGGCAGGCCATCCGATAACAAGTTCGCAGCGCACGCTAGCTGCACAGCAACAATAGACAGACATTTCAAAAAAAATCATCTCGAGTGCAAAAGCACATTGCTCACTCGGACAAGTCATGTCTACTACTGAATGTGATATTCTTATAAAATCCCAAATCAGCAGCGTCATTTGAACCTAACCTCATTCCTCCAGTACACCCCACTACTCACAGTGCCATCTTAAAAGTAGGGATATTTCCCTGCCCCACCCTCTACACCCTGTTTTATGAAATGCTTTCTGAGGCAAAATCTGAAAAGTCAATGGTAACTTGTTGACAAATGTTACATCTAACTTTATACCTAATTAAAGATATAAATACAGTAACTAAACAAATGATGAATGTAATATGTTCATATTGACACAATGTTTTATGTTCATTGTATTTATTTATTGCCATATGATTTTGTTATTAATTCCAATTATTGTGATTTTGTTTACTTTTGTCTTGTCTTTATTAAATTGAAAATACAGTCCTTTTTTATTTGTAATAGTCTGACATTATTTCTACAATGGCTGTTTATTATACACTGTCAATGAAAAAAGATAAAACTCAACAAAATAATTGTTAAGTCGTCATTTACAATTACTGCAACATGGAATACTTTACCTTTGAAGAGCCAGTAAGTGTGGCCTGCCTTGGTGGCATTGGACTTGAGGAAGGAGAGAATGTTCTGAGCAACATCTCTGATGAGGTTCGGAGAGAACTTGGAGTCTGGCAGTTGAGGCAGATCCTCAGTTTTGACCAGCTCGTATCGTTGTACAATACCATCCAGGTGGTAACACATGACCACCTCAGGTACATTGCACATCAGGTTGTCCAGCCAGTAGTCTATACCCGTCAACACGTTGATCGGCTTTGTCATGTCTCTGCGTTACAACTTTGTATTAAAAAACTCCAATCCTACTTTCAGGCAGTGGTCACTTGTTGAATTATTCAAGACTAGCTGTTGTACCCATGCTTTGCAACGGGAAGAGGACACAAAATAGAAACATTTTAATCTTTACATCTGTTGCATATAATAGTTACACATCCGCCAACGCTTTTTAGAAACGAAATTAAACTTTTATGGCCTTAACCCTCCGAGTGTTGTGTCGAAAAATCGACACATAACACACTTTGTGTAGTGTTTTGTGTCGATTTTTCGACTCACAAACACTGTTTACGGCGAAGGCTCTATGACTGACAAAATCGGATTGAACTGGATCGAGTTAGGTATCGTTTTATTTGGCAGATTCTAAGCTTTCTCCCGAGGTCTGTCTATAAGCGCTTTTTTTTCTCGAGCCGATCATAATTGTAGCAGACAGCTGACGTGTGTATTTGTTAACAGCTTGGTTAACCTCGCACCGATGACTGATGTGTTTTATTACGTTTATCATTGTTTTAGTGTTAAAAATCAAAAGTAGTGATATACGTAGTGCATTATAAGAAGATTTAAGTGATTTTGAAGGGCTGGTTGATGATCCTGAAGAAGTAGGTAGTGATATTGATGTAAATTATCAGCCAGATTCCTAGCTATGGTTAGGCTATGCATTCTTAGCTAAACGCTATGTACTGAAATCTCTTTTTTGCCCATAACTTATTTATTTGCAAATCTACTTCCTTATATTATTATATATTTGTAATCCTCATAAAATTTAGAACAAAGTGGCTATTTTCAAATATTTATGGGCCTATAATTTATACAATTTCATTGAGCGCAAACTTATTTTTTTTTATTGAAAATTTTCCAAAATATTTTTTTTTTTTACTCTTTTACTTTTCATAATTATAATAATTCATAATTATGTTATGATTATGTTAAATGTCTACCGTGTTTCGTGTTATGTTTGTTTGTGTGTTCGATGTATTTAAGATTTGACGACATTCAAGGAATGTAATATTTTAACGTTCCGTTTTTGATAATGACTACGTAGTAGTCGAAACTATAGACAACGGATACCGACTAAGGAATTGTGGACGTCAAGGTACGTAACCTGTTATAACTTTACATATTGCACACTTACCATTAAGTAAACATAGTAACAGATATTTCATTGATTTTAGAAACAAAGGAACACAGTGTACTCAGTGGCGTAGCCAGGATTCTGCTTTGGGGGGGGCCCGATCCGGGGGGTCTTGGAATACCCCCCAGGACCAAAGGGGGGTCCTCCCCCGGGAAAAATTTTAGTATTTTATGGTGCTATATTGCAGTTTACAACACCTCTGGAGGCTCTAAAGTAGAGAATAATATTGGTGTATTACTACTAAAAATTAGTTTTTTACTGTTCTGAAATCTAAACAAGTTGCCTTAACTACTATTAATCTGCGTGACGTAATTTTAATAAAATAAATCAAGCTAATAAAACTACACTCAACTTATAGAATAAAGCATACTAGTGGTCGTCCAGTGATCGAAAACTCAACCAAAAATATGTAATGTACACGCAATGGACTATTGGATACTGAAGTAGACACTATATGTACCAGCTGCCGTCATCTTTTTAATTATAAAACATTGTACAGAAGACCCTATATAATCGGCACTGTACCACTCCGGCATTCCAGTAATCCGGCGTCTTTAGGCGGGAGGTCTTCCGGGGTCGCGGCAAAATTCGGATTATCTCCCGCGGCCGTGTAGATATCATCATTCTCTCCCGCAGTCATGAAAACGTCATCATCGTCTTGCGCGATCACGCCAATATCATGAACATCTCCCGCGGACGTATAGATGTCGACTCTGACGTAATCGATTTTATAATTTATTTAAGTAATAACACTCATTTTTAGTTTTACTGTATAGATCCTTTGTAATGAATTACTTTAATTATTTAGTTTATAATTTTTTCTTTATGTTAGTTTAACGACGCTATTTAAGACATATCGTCTAAACTTGAATAAAGAATATTTGATTGATTGATTGATTGATTGATGTTATCTTATCATCGCCTCCCGCGGTTACGGAAACGTCATCGGTCTTCGGTCATCAGAAACATCGTCGTCTTGCGAAATCGTGGCAAAATCATGATGAACATCTCCCACGGTCATGTAGACATTATCGTTGTCTTCCGCGGTCGTGGCAATATATTGTATCATCTCCCGCGGCCGTGTAAACATCATTGTCTACTCCCGCAGTCACAGAAACGTCATCGTCGACTTGCGCGATCGCGTCAAAATCACAAACATCTCCCGCCGACGTGTACACGTTATCATCGTCTCCCGCGGTCACACGTCATCGTCGTCATGAACGATCGTGGCAAAATCATGATCATATTTCGTGGCCGTACTTGTTATCATCGTTTCCCTCGATTACGGAAATGTCATCGTCGTCATGCCTGATCGCGGCAATAGCGGTTTCCGATCGCACGATCTTCGGAGATGTGTTTTAATTGCATTTTTAAGTGTTTTTATTGATAACATTCCAGTAATCCGGCATTTTATATAATAACAACACGTATTGTGTAGTGTGTACGCACTCATTTGACTGTTTCTAGAACGTGCGTTGCAACGCACCCATGTGCCGTGTATACAGGGTAACTAAAAAAAAAAAAATTTCAGGGGGGGCCCGGCCCCCTTGGGCCCCCTCCCTGGATACGCCACTGAGTGTACTGCTTAGTTTTATGATATTTTCCTTGGCTTAATTTAATCAGTGGTGTGGCAAAACACAAATAATAAATTTATCAAATAAAGTAAATGTGAACTGAAAGCCTGAAAGCTATGTTAAGATAAAATAAGAGTTTTTTTGTATTACCATTTGATAATTAATTATAGTTACACAATATATACAACAGATTTAAAAAAACAAAAATCAACTACGTACAATTTAGTTATTGATGATATTCTTTAGTTTAATTTAATCATAGGTTTAGCAAAACACAATAACTTAATTTACCATATATATATATATATATATATATAACGATATTCTTAATTATATAATTTTCCAAGTCAAGATAGATTTAGTTAAAATTTAAACATGTGATTGTATTTATTTTCTTTGTTTACATATTAGATTTAATAACATTGTGAAAGACTGTGACCATGACCTTAGTGTCGAAATGCATCAGTCATTAAAAATAATAATAAAAAAGGTACTATGGTGTATTATTTATTAATATTATATCTAATATATAAAATTCTCGTGTCACAGTGTTTGTCTGCAAACTCTTCCGGAACGACTTCACCGATCGTTATGAAATTTGGTGTGTAAATTCTGTAGGTATGCGAATCGGACGTAAACTATTTCCCGTTTCGAAATTCTTAAAAGGGCTCCGCCCCAGTGGCTCTGGAGTTTCCCATGTTAACCTTATGAGAAATGGAATTAATGATCGCTCATCATTGCTGGTCCGAAAATCATCGTATGAATTTTGAAGAGGCAAAAATTGTCCATAAGGAACCTCATTTTTTCAAACGTAAACTCATTGAAGCCTCATACATTAAATTAGCAGACCAACCAATCAGTCAGTCATCGGTTGAAATAAGGCCACTTTGGCTACCCATTTTGAACAAGGAACTAAAGGATAGGGAACTTAATTGTTCAATAAATAGGGAAATAACGAGTTCTCCTCAAAATTCGCACGTTATGTTAACTCGTAGTAAAACTCGTGATAGGAATAAACATAATTAACACCCATCTTGCGGCATCGTACATCGCTCCGCCATTCTGTTGGTTTTACTTTTCCAGGGACCGGAAGCCATTTCTGTTGTCTCCGTGTTTCCGATTGGTCAGCCATGTTGGTTCAGTTTCATTGGTGGAGTCATAGCGTACGGTGTTGTTAGTGTTCCATTGTGTGAGTTTTTTGTACGTAAACCTTTTATAGATTATAGTGTTTTGTGATTTGTTATTAATTGCATGTTGTATCATGACTTGACTGCTATACAGTGCATATTTTTTGACTACTACCCTCGGTAGTGTATTCCAACTTAGGTTGGGCGTTTGTGTATTGTTAGTTGTAATGTGTTAGTTAAGTTTTTTCACCTGAAGACGGGATCAGATTCCAGATCCCGAAACGTTGTGTATTGTTTTTTACTTTCGTGATGGAAAATGTCCGCAATAAACCTTTGAACAACATAATAGCAATGTTTATACAACTATTTAAACATGGTACGTCAAATAAAACACTCGGGATTGAACAAAAACACGGGATTTTCTATCATTCAAAAGCGGGATTAAACGTGATTTTTCGACCCGGCAAGCGGGATTATTATTTTGGTCGTGAGGATACACTGGGGGAGGGTAGTGATGACGAGCTAGGGGGCGGGGGAGGAGAAGAGAAAGTGACACACAATGAGGCAGCTGCAGCGCTTGACCTTGCCCTTCGCTACTTAGAACAACAGTCAAACCAAACAGTCTACTGCCACTGCTACGCCTTGCTGATGTGATGTTCATGAGAAAATGGCGGAACTATGCGGCAAAAAACAGACTTACTAAACTGCAGCAAATAACAATGCGGGATTTAATGTCCAATAACAAGTAGGCCTAACCAAAGTTAATTTTTCAGTACGGTATGTGCAATATTTCTTACAAAATAATTCTTTGTTTTATTTGTTGTTTTTTATTACGATTTGTAAATTTAAACTTTACGTAATAAACAAACCATTGTATTCCTAAATTGATTACTCTGTTTATACTTCATTTCAAGATATTTTACCTTTCCCATTGCATTTTATATAGTGCAAATTTATTAAAAATAATATCGGGAACGTGTTCGGATTAAGCGGACGTTCAGACTAACCGTGTTCGGATTAGCGGGACTCAAGTGTATATATATATGAATTTGAACGGATGGTGTTTTTGGTCTCTAGGGACCTCAAAACGAAAAAGTAAATCGGTCCCGGGTCCAGGTCTTACCATGAGTACTACGGTAATAGCTTATTCCCTATAGGGGAAATTCGCTAAAACAATGTGATGTGCAAGTTATGGTTAATCTAACACATGTTAAGCAGTTAGAATTTATTTAAAGTAGCCTCCAAATTCATATAAAACATCTATACATTGTAATTTTTCATACTGTTTCCATGAAATCATATAATATTATTTTCATAACTTAAGACGCTTTAAAAAAATCCAAAGCAGAGCCGGAGTTGATACCAGGAGTTGATACAGCAACGGTTATAGAATCTTTTTTTTATATAATCATTGACATAGTTTTAGAATAAATAATCCATGATAAAAGGTTAGATTAAAATAAACCTACCTCATAGTTAGGGTATTGTTTCTTTATTCCAAAAATATTTAATAATGTATTAAATATTAGTGGGTCATTAAATGGAATGAGCATGAGCAACAAGTAACTTTGTAAACATTTATAACCATGAGAGATTTTAAAACTCTTCTAACTCTATATTCAATTTGGCAAAAAAGACTGAATTATATAAATTATTATCACCCCTTACCTATAGATTAATTAACCATAATAGTTTACAGTGCTAAGCATTGCTGAAATTTTAATAATTATCACAGGCCAGGTAACATAGTCATGTTTTTATATTTTAATGTTTAAGCCTTGCTAATTTTTTTTCCAAATTTTTACAAAAGAAGTACCTATTTACAAATCAGTGACAAATAAGGGGGGTGGAGATATTCATACACCTACAGCGTGCACGATAAACTAAATATTTAATTAAGGAAAGGAGGGAGGAATAAAGGATGGAAAGGAAAATACCCCCGCCGCAGGAAACCTGCAGACTGAGCAAATTTATATTTGTCTGGATTGATTTTCAATTAAATCTATTTAAATAACATTATAGGTTTAACGAGTACCTAGGTTTGCTGCTACAAGGAAACTAATAAAGTGTGTTTTTTAGTAAAATATTAATGGTTTACTATAAAATAAATAAATTTGCCAAGTTTGATCGAAATAAAACAAGCAAACTACAAAATTTTACAATATTCTCCATAAGAATAACATGGGAATTATACAACTTTTTAAAAATTTTCTCCATTACCAATAACCGTAAAAAACACTATTGATATACTAAATTATTTGTTTTTATAAGCTTTTTAAAAAGGTTTATAGAGAAATTGGGAAATTTTATCTTTAGAGGGTCAAAAATGAGAAAAACGAATTTTTAACCTCATAAAACCCCCCGTAAAACCCCGTTCCCATGGTCCGATCATGCTGGTTCGTAAACTCTTTCAAGTTTACCCCGCCTTACGCCTTTAAACCAAATTTCATCCAAATCGGACAAAAATTACTCAAATTATCGCGTCCACGGACACACACATATGTATACATACATACAAATTTGAACGAATGGTGTTTTAGGCCTCTGGGGATATCAAAATGAAAAAGGAAATCGGTCCTGGGCCTAGGTCTTACCGTGCCACCTACCGTAATAGCTACTTCCCTATAGGGAAATTCCTAAAACAATTATTGTTTTTTTTTTACGAGTGGCCCATACCTAAGTCTCAGACTGATGCAAGGGTGTGTACTGCCTCCAAAGATGGGCAGATCAGTACCAAGCAGCATCTGGATGTCTTCAAATGTCCAGACGACGTTGCGGTTAAATGTGTGGTCTGTGGTTGGATCTGGCAGCTTCTCCTCTGGCCGAGGGTCTGGCAGTGGCGGCCATTTCTGTGCCACACACAACATCAAATTATAACATTAGTAAAACTCCAACTATCCCTACTAATGCTACTGATTATCTATAGGTTATTGTATATCAGTATATACAGTTCTAACGTCACAATCAAAATAGCAAATTATTTTCAATAGAGGCTTTTTATTTATTACATCGACTTCTGACCAGGCGCCTGAGACGCCATTCTCGGCGCGCAGTGTCACTTTTGATGTTGACGCTACTCGGACAGTTGAAAACTCAGACACTTGATATTTCGATAATTTTTTTAATAATTTAAAACCTCGGACAACTGAAAGCTCAGACAGTTGATTTAACCAAATATTATTATTATTTAAACCATCCTCTGACAAATAAAAACTCAGACAACTGATATTTTAATATAATATAAAATGGATTAATAAACTCGGACAGTTGATTTATCTTAATATTATTAGTTATTTATCAAACCTTGGACAAATGAAACTCGGACAACTGATTTTTCTAATATTTTGTAATTTTTTACAAACTCGGACAACTGAAAATCCGGACAAATGATGTGATCCCAAATTCTACTTGAGTTTTGATAACCGGGGAAAATACCGTAAATTAGTTTTGTATAAGACTGGGAAACTTATAATTTTTAGTCACCAATAGCCTACAATCGTGGATCCCACTCATTAAGGCTGCGCTCTACCCGTCTGGCGTGAGCAAATGCAAGGGTTTTGACTGTTTGTAGGCCAAATTGTGAACCGATTTAAAATATGTTGGTGTCATATTTTTGTTAAATATTATTGTAAGTCCTGTGCTTTATAAAATTTAGCTATTTAAAAAAATTTGGCCTAAAAGGTTGGAAAATCCTTATATATAATACGTGAAGGCGATTTCTACGAAACACTACTCTTCCGTTAATAATGGACGGATTTTTACAAACGAAGTGTCAAAATAAAGTATTTTTTGTGTAGACGCCCCCTTTCACCAATTCCTGTAATAAAACTCCCCGGGCTTTGCCCCACAGGCCTTCAAAGTTGGATTTTCTCCCATAAGATTAACATGGGGGAGTTTAAATATTTAATTGGAAACTTTGACCCCACTAATTTGGGAGAACGGCTGGGCGTAGAAACTTGGTAGAGGTGTCCAAATAAAGGTCTTGATTTGTAGATGAGTTATCAAAAGAAAAACTAAGCAAAATCCCTTAGGGCTCAGTCCCAGAAGCCTTTAAAGATCCCTCCACAGAGTTGTTTACATTTTGGCCATGTGAATTAATACTTTTTAACAAAACCGCTGTTCATTTTTAAATTGTATTTCAAACAACACATATTTATTGGGAGTTACTGAATTGTACCAAATAAGTATTTGCAATGTTATTTTCTGATTTTAAAATTGATTTTCCTCTTTATCATGTCATGTTTTGCAATATAACGTTCCATCACGAAATCAGTGGAAAATCCTTTCATCACAGCAATTCTTAAATTATTTCTTATTGAACTATCTTATATCTATTGTACGGGTTGGTGTTTGCCTTTTCACCACTTTTACCTACATTTTATCATATTATTCTACACATATCAAATAATTATGTGAAAATGTCTGCTCTTATCGTGTCTAATAAAATCCAAACATAGAAACCTTGCCTAAAATGGTACCCATCTTGAAAAACTAATTGCACCTGCCTATATTACAGACTTTGGCGCACTGGGTTGGTAACATTATGGAAAATAACACTACATTTTTGCTGTAAAATATGGTACAAAGAGAAAATACGATTTAAGCAAGACTGTCATGACAGAAAGGTCATATTCCTTTTAAACTAGATCACATCCTTTATAAGATACGTTGATTACCAATATGTAAACATCAATATATACGTAACAGCCAATTTACAGTATTTTTGCTTTTTGGAAATGTCCCATTGCTATGTTATTTTTGCATTATTTGTTGCCAATGAAGCCGCCAAAACCATATAAGTGAGGAGGCCCCTAACAGTTCAAGAATAAAAGCCAACTTCACTTCAAGTATTCCACTACACCTAAAATTCCGTAGAGAGATTATTTTGACAACTTTATGTTATTGATAAGGCTGAGACAACTAACTGACATCCCCCATGTCAAGGAATTCCAGCTTTAACAGTAACCCCACAATCGATTTCTCAAAACTATGCTAGAGGGTTCATTCATTGGCACAGAAGTACGATATGAACTGACGCGACGTGACGAAGGAAAAATCAAACTTACACTGTAACGGATATACCTCCCTTTGAAGTTAGAATATGTCTTCCCAAAAAATATTTTCTTTTCAAATAAAATCATATTACACTGATGAAATCACAGAAGTGTTTAACTACAAAAGACCCACCAATACGATTTTAATACTATTTAAAGGTTCTTCCAAAAGAAGAAATACCAGATAACATACTAATAATAACTCCGATGACGTACGGTATGGGAAATATTTTATTCGTTGAATGATCAACCATTTTTGGTATCTAACGCAATTAATATCATTATTGTTTTTACACTTATTAATCTTTAAACAATTCTAAATGCTCAAAATATGTATCATTTCACTCAATTTATCGCAGTTAGATGAATTAGTGTAAGCCTTGAAAGTAACCGTCGATTTCGACGGGTTTCACCTAGTATTGTAAAATATGCGTTTTTTATCATGAGTTTTAACTTAACTAAACACATAAAAATAATTTTTAGAGAAAAAATAACAAACAGGGGAAGTGCAATAGATTCTTAAAAACAATAATCTGCATTTAGTTTACTAAAAGGTTTAAGGATAACTTTGTAATCACCCAGATTCAAAAGGCTTGCAAGTGCTCTTCATGGCGTTGTTCAGTGCAATGGTTTAGGAACATCAGCGTTAAGCAATATCGAACTGAGAAATTCGAGCTGAGGTAGAGCACACTGGGCGTTTCGATGGCTGTTGTAAAGTAAAAATCACAACTGCAGTGGTTGATCGCGGGTGTTGCTACGATCCCGGAAGAACTTTACGATTTTGTGGTGATCGTTACAGTTTGTTTCTGCTAAACTCTCTTTTCCAATACGTCACCTTCGGTTTCGACCCACCGCTATTGCGCTGCCATCATTAGACCATACCACCAACAGGCCTATGAGCCATCTCCTATTGGTGCGTAGGCCTATCCAATTACACATAACCACATTTAGACGACAATTCTTGGTACTGGTACTCAGGGCTAGAGATATACAAGGGCTTTGATGTTAGCGGCCGCCGCCCGATCCTACTTACCAACTTACCCCACTCCCGCCCCTCCTCAGTGACGTAGCACTGGGACATCGGCGCGTGGCGCGAAGGCAGCCTTGCACGGCGGTGCATATGTCGCCCGGTATCAATGATTTATCATCGTGTCTTTTAACTAATATAAAATATTATTTCATTAGATATAGTTTTTTAGTTTTATAGTAGGATTTGTAAAGCGGGTTTCGTTAATATGGTAGGCTGTAGTGTAGCTACAGTACATGTAAATACCCCCGCCGCAGGAAACCTGCAGACTAAGCAAATTTCCATTTTCCTGACTGGATTTCTACTATAATATTCCCTTAAAATTGTTAGATTTATTTCCTATTTAAATAACATTAATTTTAATGAGTACTTAGGTTTGCTGCTGCAGGGAAGGTATTTAGGTGTTTTTTTATTTTTTTTTATTAAAATGTTGATAGCTTAGTATGAAATAAACAGTATTGCCAAATTTCATTAAAATACAGGGTGGAACGAAGTTAGTGTTAACAAATTTTATCGGTTAAACTACTAAGTATTGGTGACAAAATGGCAGCAATTTAAGTTTCCATACCCTCATAGGTAGGGAATAACGGACAATTTAAGATTTTTTCAAAATATTTGTATCTGCTTACATAAAATGGCCATAAGTGCACTAAACGTTGTTTTTATTCCAAATTCATTGTCATTTTTAGAATCCTCGTTAAATTTCCAATATTAATAGTACAAATTCATTGGGATAAAACATCTGTATAAGCCCTTATTTGGCAATGGAAGTTTGAATTTGTGATTTTTTAGAAAAAAGTAATAACTTTTCCCAAAGTTTTTCTATACTACACTGGACTCTAGAGAGTGTCAATTATTACTAAAAACTTTTGTAGTTAATAACCTTTAAAATTATGTATAAACATCTACTGTTCGTTTGATATGTCGTTCTCAAATTTAAGAGTTTTTCTTGAAAAACACGGAACGGCTATTGTTTAATTTCCTGTAAAAAAACATGTATTGGCTTCAATGATATGGCAGCAGCTGCTTTAAAAATCATGTTTAAATGGGTATTATTGCAATTTTCAGAATTCTTGTAAAATTTCTAATATATTGAGGTATTGTTAGGATTAACGCCTTATGAACCTATGTTTTGTGATGTATCTTCATTTAGGGTTTTTTTATTTTTTATTGGCATAACTTAAATATCGTTTACGGTGTTAGTTCTATGGTACATTCAACCGATGTGCGAGATTGACTTAATGCAAAATACACAACTTGAACAATGATAACAATGATAAAGATGGGTCATATGGTGTGATTTGCTGGCATGTCAGGTCGCAAAACTTTAAGTCCACTGGACTTGTTTTGTGTGGCTATGTGGAGTACTTCGTCTCCTCATCTTTAGTGGAAGATAATAAGGAAATTTAAAACTGGATAATGAATGCAGATGTGCTAGTCAGAGGAACGTTTTATTTTAATGTTACTGTTGGTGCCACTTGCAAAAAAACTTGGCTGTATATAAGGGAAAATAAAGGAGATTTTGAAAAAAAAAATTAAAACTCAAGTAGTTGGCATCAAATAGAAGGCAACTATTAAAACGTTAAGGAAGTAAGGAACAGTTATTTAAGTTTCGAATATTGTGTGTTTTAGAATTAACTTTTATTTTTTGTGTAAATAAGTTAAACTACGTATTTCTGAGGTTTTAACAATAATTTTAGTAAAGAAATAAATCACTTGGCTGATTTTCATTAGCATGTGTCTAAGCACTACAATCTAATTGCTATAC